GTGGCTTTTTACATAGCGCTCTGCTTTGAATAGGTTTTGGCTGCTCAAATTAGTGTATATGTTTAAATCTCAAGGTTACGTGCTAACAATTGATGAATTAAGATTGAAATCTGAGCAGTGGGCATAATCATTGAGGGCGTGGCTTTTGGAGGGGGTTCATGTCAAGAGGAGTGCTCATTTAAGCTGACTTCAGTCTATCTCTTTCTCTGTTTCTGCTGGCTGGGCTAGCATGTGCTTGCCCCCTCTGATAGCCTCTGGCTTTTCCAGATGCCTGAATTAATGAGGCTGCCTTACCCTGGACAATGAACTTCCATACTGATAGCTAGGACAGAACTACTTCCCTTCCTTTTCTCAGATATTTCAGTTAAGGAAGCAAAAAGGCTGATACATATATTCACAGCTGACAGAAAATACAACAATAGATAATGAAGAACATAAACATTTTTCTGAAGAGACACAATTAGTTTTCATGTGTTTGAATCACAACCAGAAATGCATTTTTCAAACATGGTGCTGCTTAATTAACCTATTATTCATGATGTAACATTTGCCAAATGTGTTAAGTTCACAGTATACATTTTTTTTTTCATCTGTACCTTCAATCCTTGCATTGAGAGGCAGAGCAGGTGTTGGTGATTTGCATTATGTGGATAAATGAGTTCAGTGTAACTCCAGACTACAAAGAAGGCATGTGGTAGTAGAGACCAAGTCAGATGTGTGACTCATCTCTTTGAAGAAAATAAATATGTAACACTTTACTTCAGAAATGGGAGATACAGACTGAACAAGCTCACAACCCATAGTTTAGTCTCCCCAAGTACTTGCAATAGCCAGAGATGTGTGGCAGGGTTCCAAGTACTTGGACTATCATCTGCCATTTCCCAGAATGCACATTACAAGGAAGTTGAATTCCTAAGTGGGTCTAGTACTCACACTCAAGCATCCAGATACTTGAGCCCACCCATTTAAGTTGTGATCATACCACACATTTCAAAAAAGTTAAGCCCATATGTACTTTAAGTAAAATTTAGCTTTTAAGTTTCTGATTCATTCTTTGATCAAATTTTTGTTTAGCAACAATTCTTTGATCTTCAGGAATGTCTTTAAACCATTTTATTAGCCATTTATTCCTTTTATCTTTGAGTCATCCAATATCTTTCCAAGGAAACTCAAAATTACATTCCTCTTTTTTTTCAGATTAGACTCAGAATAATCTACTTCTGACCTGGGTGTATTGTTATTCCATCACTGAAGTATTTGATTTATTGTGCCCTTTATTATTTGGATTTTCCTCAAGTGAAAGCTTACCTCATATTTTTTTACTGCTATCTCATGTTGCTACAATTCAAAATGAGATTATGGAAATTTGGCTTGAAATATATTAGCATAATTTAAGTGAATTTCACTGGACAGACAAAGCAGAACAATTTGTTACTTTTGTAAAAAAGCATTACTTTATTTTGATTTATAAATGATATATATATTTCAATCTTTATTGAAAAAGGAGCTATTTCATGTACACACAATTACACAACATAGGTAACTTCCAGTGCCTAGAACATTATATAGATTATAGATTACATATACTTATTTGTATAAATACATAGATATTTATGCATTGCAAGTTTTCTGTGTAGCTTGCTGAGTATATGTTCATTATCCCTGGTTAAAAAAACAGGAGTTTTATATTTACATACTAGTGGTTTTGCCTATCTTGTACTTTGTCCTGTCACGTACTTTAAGATGAATATTAAAACAGCTTTTCTGAACTGATACGAACAAGTAACTATCTCTACCCCATTTATGTGTGAAAGAATGAATCAAGTTATATACTCTGTATTAATTTAGCTGGAAGAAAACCCTAGTATTTAATATGATGCTATCATATCTTTCCATATTTGTTATTATATTTTCCCAAAAATGTCAATCAGAATATGCTTTGGAGTATTAACTATAGGCTTATGGCTGTGGGTATAAAACAGAGAAATTAAAAAAAAAATTCATACTGTTAGTCAAATAATGAAATCTTACATTAATCAAGCTGCTGAAATTTAAAACCTGACCCTGTGGTCCTTTCCCCAAAGGAAAGATCATCTCTATAGTGCACTCATCTGTGCTGAGAAATGTTGTACTCATTTCTATTAGAAACTACTAAGTCAACTAAATATATTTATTTAAAAGGTTTATTTTATTGAAATATACAATGTAAAGAGAAAATATAACTTCCATTTAAAATGTTCAAAAAGGTTGAGAACAAGGATGATTATGAAATTGAGATTTAAATGAATTAGAAATTTTATTTAAATTGATAGTATATATGTATTTTCCAGTTATAGAAATTGAAGCAAAAAGACATTAAGCCTTATGTTCCCACAGACAGTAAATGACAAAGGCAAAATAAGTAATCTGATATTAGAAAATGTAATTTTCCCAATTTCTTTGCTCTTTGTAGATTCATTTGGGACAACCTTTATATGTAGAATATTTTACAAACCATAACACCAGTGAAAGTTATTGCTTTTACTAAAACAAATTCTAAAAAAGGACTTTTAAGGCATCAGTTAAAAACATAAACACTTTCTTGATTATCTGCCTATTGATCAAAAATCTTTGAAAATAAGAATAAGAAAACAGAACATTGACTTTTAAAATTTCTAAGTATTGTAGTCTTTTCTTCCTTTCCTACTCTCCAAATATTTATTAGATGGTTAATAAAAGGACATTTATGAGATTCAAAGTAGGACCATCCACAATTAAAGACCATACTTGAGCATATAACTAAGAGTAGCTGGATTTTTTAATTCACAAAGTCAGGAAATAAACCTAAATGCCAGAGTCAATACCTTCCTCCTGATACTTCTCAGATTTCCTGTTTCTCCTGGTCTTTCTTAGAAGCTGAATATATAGCAGCAAAAGTTCTAGGTAGCAATACATATGTCATGATCTAATCTTCTAAGTTACATGGATTTTAAAAGTATATAATTACCACAACAAGGTTCAACTGATCCCATCACTAAAATGGGTGATTTCCTTAGAGAGTTTTCCTATTGTGCAACCATTTCTCATGAAATAATGGAGGCATATTCATAGCCTTAAAGGAATTGTCTAAGACATCAAAGTCCCCAGTAGATTCCTTCAGAAAACTGCTGATGAAATGCAATTGTCTACCACTTAGGCATCTACTTGAAAGCATAAGGGAATTATACTCTGAACTCTGATAAGTATAATTATGAACATCTCAGATTGAATTAGACAATAAAACACTGGCTTTGCAGTCAAGCACACAGGTTGGCTATTTTTTTTTTAACCCTCACCACTTATTGGCAGTTAGATCTTATGCAAATTAAAGAACCTTTCTTTGTAAACCTCAGTTTCCTTTCCTGAAATGGACTTAATGATAGCACTTACCTTTAAAGGTTGCTGTAAGAATTAGATGACGACACAATGTGTGAGTTGTGTGTGTTGGGAGGCAGGGAGATGTCAACCAGGAGATCATCACTTACATCATTGTCTCACAGTGTTTCCCTTGCATTTTCTTCCAGTGACGTAATACTGTCAAGTCTTAAATTGAGGTTGTTGATCCATCTTGAGTTGATTTTTGTGTAGGCTAAGAGGTATGGATCTACTTTCATTCTTCTACATACATTCAGTTTTGCCAGCACTGTTCATTAATCATGCTTATTTTTATTATTTGGTTCCATTGATCCAAAGGATTTTTTAGCAAAGATTTTTTAAAATTTTTATTGGAAAGGCAGATTTGTGGAGCTGTGTGGAGAGTCCGAGGCTTATCCACTGGTATGTTACCCAAAGAGCCCACAATGACCGGAACTAAGCTGATCCAAAGCCAGGAGCTTCTTTAGGGATTCCCACATGGGTACAGGGTCCCAAGAACTTGGGCCATCACCTACTGCTTTCCTAAGTCATAGCAGAGAGCTAGGTGGGAAGCAGAGCAACTGGGACACAAACCAGCACCCATTTGGGATCCCAGAGTTTGAAGGGGGGATTAGCCTATTAAGCCATTGCTCCTAGCCCTATACTTGAGTTTTTATGCCAGTAACATGCTGTCCTAGTTACAGTTTTGAACTGTGCTTTGAATTCAAGTATTTTGATACCTTCAGTAGGATTTTTTTTTTTTTTGGTCTTGGCTAATGATCATTGACTATTTTTTACTTGATTTCCCTTTCAGCGAATTCATCATTAGCATGTGTAAAGTGATTTTTAGATTTTTACCTTGTAAACAGCAACTTTGCTAACAGCATTTTAGTTACATTTAGTTTTTTTCATGATGAAATCATTACATTATCTGAAAACCTGGAAGTTTTGACTTCCCCAAATTCAATGCCTTTTATTTCTTTATCCTCTGTGATTGTTCCTGCTAATGCTTTCAGAACTATAATGAATACAATTGGGAAGAGTGGACACATCCTTGTCTTTTTCCAGATCTGAGTGGCTATGCTTTCACTTTCCCCCATTCTGTATGATATTGACTATTGATTTTTCACATAGCCTAGGTGAAAATTTTGACCTATGATCCTTTTATATTTACATTTGAGTATTTTTTTTTACCATGAATGAATGCTGAATCTTAGAAAATGCCTTCTCTACATGGATTGAGATGATCACACATTCTCTTCATTCCAGTGATGTGATTTTACTGGTTATGGATTTGCATATGTTACCTTCCCCCTTGCATTTCTGAGTATAAATACCACTTGATCATGACGTATGATCTTTTATTAGATGGTTTCAGATTTCATTTGCTAGTATTTTTTCTTTTAGAATCTTTTTATCTATGTTCATCAAGGATGTGTGTCTGTAGTTTTCAATTTATGTCATATCTTTGGTCTTGATATCAAAGTGAAACTGGCATCAACAAAAGTTTGGAAGGAATGTATCCTATTTTGGGATAGTTCATAAACTATTTAAAATAAAATTAAAACATTGTTTTTGAATAAAACATAGCTTAAGCTTTATCTAACAGGAAAAATCTTCTAAAATATTTAGTTTCAATTTTACTTACTTCTGCTCTAATTTTTCACCTCATAACTTTGAGCTTGTTTTGTTCTTTAAGGGCTTTGAGAAGCAATATTAGATCTTCAATACTTTTTTTTTTCTTAATGTCAGCATTTAACCGTGGACTTACCTGTCAATATGTTGTGTCCCACAGGATTTCATTTTTTCATTCTTCAAGAAAGTTTATTTCCTCTTTAATTTCTTCAGTAGCAAGTTGTTTAATGTCCCTGCATTTCAGTTTTATTCTTCTTGTGACTTCCAGTCTTCTTGCTTTGTGTTCTGAGAAGATACATGGAATGGGTTCAATTGTTTAAAACGTTTGCTGAAACTTGATTTGTGCTCTACTATATGGTCTCTCTAGAAAATGTCCCATGCACTGATGAAAACAACATGTTTTCTGTAGCTTCTAGTAAAGTGTCCTTGGGTTCATGTGCTCTATAGTATGTTTCAACTCCAGAGTATCCACTGATTTTGTCTAGATTATCTGTCCGTCAATGAGAGTGGGATGTTGAAGATACTTACTCACTATTTTGGTACCAGAGATTCTGTCCCGTTAGGTCTAATAGTTGCTGTACCTATCTGGGTATTCCTGTGTTTTGGGGGAAGTATATTTGATTGTTCTGTGTTCTTACTGGAGTGAGCCTTTATCAAAATACAATTTCCTGTGTCTCTTTTGACAGGTTTTGATCTAAAGTCTGTTTGATATAGGATGGCTACTGCTGCTTTTTGGTTTTCATTTTCCTGGTTTATCTTTTTCAATCCCTTCCCTTCCAGTCTTTGTATCTTTGTAAGCAGCATATAGGGAAATTTTCTATTCATCCAGGCAAACTAAGCCGTTTGGCTGGATAATGGAATAAATTTACTTTCAAAGCTAGTATTGACAGACAAGAACTAAGACTAGTCTTTTTGCTGACTGGATATTGATTACACCAGCTGTGTTAGTGAATTTGCTGTTGTCATGTGTTCTCATGCTGTGTACCTGCAACACAGGACTCCCTTCACAATTTCTTGTATGGTTAGTCTGATCATGGGGATGTTTTTGCTTATCTGGAAAATACCTCCACCATGCTCTTTCACTTTTAAAGTCTAACTATGCTGGATACAATATTATATTGTTTTTTTTTTTCATTTAATACTTTAAATATATCATCCCACCCTGTTTACTCACAGCATTTGTGCAGAGAAGTCTGATCCTGATCTGGTGGGCTTTCCTTTTATTTATACAGACAGCTTTCTCTTACTATTTTTAGGAGTTCTTGCTTGCCCTTAATTTTTGAAAATCTAATTACAGTATGCCATAATGATGCTGTTGTTTAAGTATTTAATGTATTTGAATATCAGCTACAGAAAGAGGGCGATAACTAGACAGATAAATGTGTCTGTTGGACCACTACCCAGATGTTTCTAACAGTAAAGGCATGGCCCAGCAGAAGCCAGGAGCCAGGCACTTCATCCAGGTTTCCGTGTGAGTGCAGGAACTCAGTTCCTTGGACCATCCTCTGCTGCTTTTCCCAGGTCACTTACTGGAAGCCGAGTGAGAAGTGGACTGCCGGGACTCCAACCCATATCCATGTGGGATATTGACTGCCCCAGAGATGACTCTGGTGGAGACCTCTCTTTGTTGAGTCTCCTGGGAGGTCTGCAGCTTCTGGTACCTGGATGTCCATGTCTCTTTCAAGACCTGAAAAAATTTCAATTATATCATGTAACTGGGTCCCAATGTCTGTTTCCCTTATCTCTTTTAGGACTGCCTATAATCTATTTAATCATTTAATAGCATCCTACATTTCACATAGACTTCCTTCAGTGGTTTTGACTGTTTTTTTTGAATAGGGTTGTTTCAAAAGTATTTTCTCTGAGGTCGTAAATTCTTTCCTCCACTTGCTTATGCCACTGTTAAGACTCCCAGATGTACATTTAAAATTTCATTGATGGATATTTCTGTCTCTGACATGTCTTTCAAGTTCTTAATGGTTTTTATTTCCCTAGTAAGATTCTCATTTGTGTCATTCTTGGACCTCATCTTTGTAATTTATCTATACCTGTGTTGTGTTTCTGCATTCTATTTCTGTTTCATTTCTTTTGTCTATCTTTATCCTCTTGCATTGAGTTTCCTTTCAACCACTATTTGGTAAACAGTTTCTGGCATTTCATGGAGTTTTTTTTTTAGTTCTGGAGCTAATTCTCAAGAACCATTTTTAAAAAAATTTTGGAAGCCTCATGCTACCTTGCTGCCTTCATATTTGTGTCCCTGCATTGATGCCTGCACATCTGGTATGATCATCCCTTCTTTAGGGGGTAGGTTAAGCAATGTCAATTGTTTATTTAAGTGTTAAAATATTCTGCAGTTGGTAGGGACAGAAGTTTGAAGTGAGTATGTGTTTTCTAGGGTGCATCATCACTGACTTTAGGATTAGTCATCCTGGGGACTGTAATAGCTAAAACCTTACTTTGGAACTGAAGGAGAGAAGGATGCCAGTTGCCCCCTTGTCCCACTGGCAAACCTGAGCAAGATGGGGCTGAGGGGAACAAGTGCTGTGGTCATAGAATGGTATCATGGGAATGGACCCTTGCTTAGGATATGCTAGGACCTGTAGCTGCTGCTATGGCAGCTTATAATGCCTCCTAGTTCTGGGCTGAGGTGTTGTGAACTAATTCCTGCTCCAGTCCTATAAGGTAATTGCAGGGTATAGAGTAGATTTTGCTAGGGCACATAAAAGTCCAGAAATCTGTAATGCAGATTTTTTTCCTCAGTCCACCAGGAAGATTCCAGTGGGGGTAAGAAAAATGGAACTAATGATCAGTCTTAGTGTTAGAGAGTACAAAGGGATCATTTCCCAGATTGGCCAAGGTGGTAGAAGGCTTTTTATGGACTGCTGCTGTGCTAGCCTCAGGAACTAAGTGAACTCCCTAGCTCACACAGTGATCTAATGCCAAAAATAACTTCTATCGTGGCCTGATGCCATAGACCAGTCCTCTACCTCTACCAAATTGACTTGACTGTGACCACGGTTACTTCAGGCAGCAGCAGAATACAGATGTGCAACGTAACATTTCACAGTTTAGTCAGGGGGTTGGAAGGGAGGCAGTGTGGAACCAGGGCATGGCTCAGACCCAAGTCACCTCTCCAACTAGAGTGTAAGTCATGGGTGACTGCAGGATTCTCCCTGTGCAGCTTCAGCTGGTGAGCCACACAGTCACCGCTTCCTACCTTGACTCAAGAAGGCGATGACTCTTACCAGGTGTTTGGTTATACAGTAATGCCAGCCAGCGCAGGAAGCAGCATCCCCATCATCTCTTGGAGTTTTTACTGGTTTTTTTTTTTTTTTTTGCTTATCCACTGCATAACTATCAGTTAAACCCCTGGACATGCAATTCTTCTTTTCTTGTTATATTCAAGGGCAGCTGAAGTTAACATAGCTGTTCCCTGTTTAGCCATCTTAAATCCCCTTAGCTGTATTTTTGAAGCAAGATTTCTACATTTGCATTATAGTCAAAGGTTTAATGCATCACTGAATAAATAATCAGGAATATGGGAGACAGCCATAAAAATGTATATTTCACTCATATAAAATAAGTTGTAAAGCATTTGTAGCTCCTAAATGGATATATATATATATATATATATATATATATATATATATATATATATATATATGGAGGTACATACAAAGGAAATGAAATTAGATCCCGGCATCATAAAAACAAACATCAACTCAGAATGCATCAAAGACCTAAATTTAAGAGTGGAGACTGTGAAGTAGCTGAAAGAAAATGTAAGGGAAGTACTTCAAGACATTGCTTTATATTTCTCTCCAAGAAGTGACCATCCACACCAGTGGCAGTGAAAGCAAAGCTGGCCCAATGGGATTATATCAAAGGCTTCAAGACAGCAAAAGAAACAATGCTAGTTAAGAGACATCAAAAAAAAATTGAGAAAACACTTGTGTGCTACCTACCCTGCAAAGATGTGTGGTGATGTGTTTATATAATAGTGAAATGAGGATGAAAGAAAAATCTGCACACCTATTAGAAAAAGAATGGATAGCTCTCAGTGCTAAGTAAAAGTGATCATACATAAATAACCTAATGCCATTTACACGAAGTTGAAAAATAAGCAAAACTAAAGTAGAAGTTAGAGTGATACTTACTTGTCAGGGAACTGTGAGTGCCTTCAGGATGAGGAAGATGTTCTGTCATTGACCAAGGTGATTATACCTACATTCAAATGAGAATGTCATTGAGTTGCACATTTAAGATTTGTGTATCTATGGAAATTGTACTTCATATAAAAGCAAATGGTTACATAAATTTCTTAGAGGTGATAAACTATGTTGTAGGTTTTCAGCAAAATGATCTAAAATTCTAGCTCCATAGTCTTTATTTCCCTTTTTATGTTGCTTTAAATCAAGCTATTTGTAAATGTGAGAGATCCACCTGATTCCGCTTAGGACATAGTTCATAAACTATATAGGAATATAAACCTAAATATTCCTAAATTCAACACTATAAGATAAAATTATGAGTCAAATTTTCATTTTTATTCTGATTCCATTTACTATGAGTACAACTTACAGAAATTACTTAAGGTAGTATCTTCATGTAATTGTTGAACTAGTTAAAAACACTTTCAGGGTTACTATTTTTTTTATTGTTATTAACATTGTATTATGTGATACAGTTTTATAGGCACTGGGGATACCCCTCACCCCTACCATACCCCTCCCCCCATAGTGGATTCCTCCACCTTGCTGCATAACTACAGTTCAAGTTCAGTTGAGATTCCTTCATTGCAAGCATATACCTAGCATAAAGTCCAACGTCTTATTATCAGGGTTACTATTTAAGCGTACAGTGATACACCAATGTAATTGCAGGAACGTGATCTTTAATATCAAGCAGTTTAAGCACCAAAAAGTCACACTCAAAAATAGGGTTAAAATTTCTATATTTTCTGGAATTATTCAAAGTGCTTCAAAAACATTTGACATCCTTGTTTAAATTCCATCTAGTTGACCCAATATGAATTTGTTTGATTGATTTAAATAATTCCAGAAATTTCTCAATTTGTATGGTTATCACGGAAGATGACGTTTTCTAATAAGGAAATTATTTCAGTCATACAAAATACTTTGCTGCACACAAATGTAAATCCATGCCATATGGAATGTTGAGTCAATCTTCTGCAATAAGTTTACTAATCTATTGAAACCACTTTTTTCAAGAGAAAGTAAAAGAAGGGTAAGATGAGAAATGTTATCAGGTGTTACCTAGCTAAACCATCTCCAGGGTACACAAAGGTGGCTTTGAGACCTTCCCAAAGGTATTTCTGAATGTGTGAGTCATAACATTTATGTTTAAGGATATAAAATATACTAAAGTTTCTTACCATTTGGAATAGTGAGAAGCTTCTAAATTAAAATCTACCTCACTGATATCATTTTCATCCAAATAATCTGTGATCCTCTATTGCTAGATCTAAGAAAGGCTGGGGGGAGGTACATTTTAAAATTGTTTCTAATTTGACCACTCAATACTTGATGCTGCATTCTTCAAATACTTTTTTCTTACTCTGTCGTCCCATAATCTACTAGATTTTTCATCAGTAACAATTGCTTCTCAATGTCCAAATTAGTTTTCATTTATCTACCAGGTAGAAATCGGTGGCTTCCCAAGGCAATCTCATCCAGTTATCTAACAGCGAACATTATTAAGTAATAACTATCAAACCTCCAGCTTCAGCTGGGATGTTTGTAATAGTGACTTGACCTCCCTACTAAGTATTTAAGGGGGATCTTTCTCTACCTGGAGGCTGTGCTTTTTTGCTGCATTGCTGATTTGTGCTAGTACAAAACTCCTTTTCAACCTTTTCTATTTTACACAACCTATAAGATCTTTCAAATTTATCCACCAACTAGTTCTCTATTTACTTCTCAAAAACTGTGCTACAACATCAGTTCTTGTGTTTACCTTTAAAAAACTGTTTACTTGTTTAACTACATGAAAGAGCATTGGAGGGAAAAACCTAGTTTCTGTTGATTCAACTCTAATTACCTGCAACAACCAGGGTTGAGCCAGGCTGATGCCAAGAGCTAGGAACTCCATCTTCGTGTCCCACATGGGTGGCAGGAATCCAACTACTTGGCAATTATCTGCTGTTTCCCAGGATACATTAGCAGTAAGGCAGCTCAGAAGTGGAGCAATTGAGACTCAAATTGGCACTCTATTCTATATGGAATGAGCATGTCCCAAATGATGGCTTAATCCTGTACCACTTTTCTTTGCTTAATCACTTCCAAAGATTACATCCCATAATACTTTTAAATGCTTGCTATCATGACTTCCCTTATGTTTAATATAGCTTCTTTAAACATCTTACCAACATTAGTCTTTAACACATTTGAATGGAAACAGTACCTGTAGATTTTTTCAAATGATCTTTTTATAGGAAATACTATCAATCAACTGGGATGCAATAAGAAAAATAATCTGGCTGCTTTGTATAAGAATGGAAGCCAAAAGACTAACATGACCACTACCAGAAAATTACAATTGAGATATGGTCAATCAAGGTCAATGGCAAGGAATTAGATTGAACTTGTTCATGAGAGTTTAAAATGAATCAGTGAAATGGGAAAAACTAGAAAAGAAAGGGTTCCTGGGATGGAGAGGTTGAGTATATAAGAAATAAAAAATTCTATCCTGGTATACTAAATTTAATTTGCTTGTTAGAAAACCAAATGGATATCCCACGTCATCCGTGGAGAGTTTGAGGAAGGAGATGTAACTGTGGGAATTATTTCTGTTTAGCCATCAGACTAGCTGAGAACCCCCAGGGAAAGTACAAAGCTGGCCCAGAAAGCTTCATAAAAGCCCAAAGAAGCAAGGTAGATCAAATTCCCAAAGAAAACAAGATTGCATTCCAGACGTCCTTCTTTTCAATTGAAAGACTTTCTAATCTCTGTAAAATGACTTAGCCATGAACAAATAACATAAATAATTTGTTGTTTGACATGTGCTTTCTTGCCATGCCAAACAGGAGGTTAAACATTCTTATCTGTACTGATATTAGTCGATCTGAACTTTCACCAGACTGTGTAATTTTCAGTAAATAAAATGTAGTTTCTATTTTGATATAATTCTAAATAATTTGTCCCACAGAAAACTGAGTGTCTTGTGTCTTGTAAGATATTTTTCGGGTGACAAATTTCAGAACAAGCTCATCTAGAGACTCGTTTAGCGTAATTACACATCCTTTGAAATTCTGGCGTCAGAGCCCTCCTATAGGAGTTATATCAAAAAACCTCAGGTACTTTGCTTTGAAGCACTCAGAACTGGGGCCTCACTTTTGGGCATTCAAATCGGGTGAGTTTGTGAAGAGAGTGATTTGGAAAAAGTTACTATGGGGGATTATGCTATAGATCTCTTCAATAGGAACTTCTGCTAGAAAGAAGTGGGGTATCAAGGAAGTGAGCAGTTGAGCTTCAGAAAGATGGATAGAAAGCATCTTGGCCCTGTTTGGCACACCTGCCAACTTCCTACTCACCTGTGCAAGTTCATTTGCATAAGAATACAAGTTATTTTTCATAATTCGGTCAGGCATAAGCTGAGCATTTCATCTGAAGCAGGTGAGTTTTTTAGTAATATATGCCTAACTTGTAGTATGCCTAAACGGTCAATTTGTAACTCAAGTTGCTACCTCTAAATTCAGTTAAAATTTGTATTTGTCAATAAGTACACAACCTGAACAGTTCTTTGTAAATGAAATTCATGTAAGTTTAAACCTCTCTTTGAATGAACAGAAAACCTGGGCTGTAGCAGTTTCAATGACCTCTTTCCTCAGTGGAAATCTAAGACAATAATAAATTTTAAGCACTAAACATGAAGCTTTATAAAAGGAATAGATCCAGCTAATAAAATACATACTATACAATAAATTTCACCTCAGAGTGGAGAGCCAAGGACAATATAATGTGTATAAATGATACACTTCATTTTACTTATAAAGAAATTCCTGCAAGGAACTACTGCAGGAAATTTAGTGTGACTACAGTAACCATCTCTAGCAAAGGTTTTTTGATTCAAGGCATCTTGCAAAATCACATGACCTTAATCCTTTACTCTTACTCTAAAGGAAGAGTAGAGATCCAGGTTAACATAATAGCAGCCACTTTGGACTTCACCACCTTCTTGCCCTTTAGGTAACCCTACGAGTCATCCCAAATGCTACAAGGTAAACAAAGTCGTTCCAAAGCCTACCAAGCTTGGGATGTCCCTTATCTATTCCCTGGAATGTTCATGTTTCTTGAGAAAGTCCAGATGCATTCCAGAGTAACCACAGGTCAACTTTGTCTCAAATCCTCTCTCCTGCCTCATAAAACATGCTTTCCCATAGGTTAGGCTAGTAAGTGAAGCAACATTTGATAGAGTTGAAAGATGAATAAAAATAACAATTAATCGATAAACAAAGTTTTCTGTGGTGGCCCTGGATTGGAGGTCAGGAAATCTGGTATTTGGGTTTCTTGTTTAATTATTATTTTGGTGCTGTGATTTCAGATAATTCATTTATCTGCTCTAAGCCATAACTTCCTAACACTATTATGACAGTGTTCTAATGATGTGATAAAGGTTTCTCCCAACTCCAAAAGTCCACAAAGTTACTTTCTCTGATGTACAACATTGAATTATTCTTTGTGAAGATAATGTTGCTTCATGAAAGCATCTCCAATCTTTAATAGTTTGAAATCAACACACACATAAAAGACTGTTTGTAAAACAAAGAGGAACTTGGACATAAGCTAGTCACCTGCCCCAGCCAATCATTCATAAAGGATTTTCCTCCATTATTAGTCATTTCCTTAAGTGCCTTTAGATGTAGGCATCTGATAGAGATGAGGTCAAAATAATCATTGATGAATTTCCTTGAAACTAAATAAAAAATGCTTCCTGTTGTATCACACCATGAATGAGGTCATTTTTTCAAAGTAAGATAAATAAATACATTGTGTTGGGATTTGCTAACTTTGTGATTGTGGACTGCTTACTAAATCTATAAATATTTAACAATATATTTCCCTACAGATGTTTAAGGAAAACAAGCCTTTCCTTTCTCTAACTCCCTAATTCAGTGAATCAAATATATGCTGAGACATTGGCTTTCAATAGGTCCCAAGCCCCGGAAGATCTTTGTCTTCAATAACAAAAAGAAACCAGAGCCC